TAATTACAGTATAAAATTTGTTTTGAAATTGTTAGTACTTTAAAAAATTCTGATGGAAAAAAAAATTGTCCAACTCCTTTGAGAATATCCACATATTCTGAGGATTTAAAATGTTTTAGCATTTGACATACGCTTTGTCACCTTTTGGCTGAAATGTCTTAATCTATTTATATTTACCTGTAGTTAGGCAATGAATAGGATAAAAAAATAATCTAGTAATATGTATGCTATATGCTTGTTACCTATGGTGTTAGGTGTTTCCCATTTGGGTAATAATACACTTTTGATTCAACAAAACCCTTGGTGACAAAAGCAAGGCATGGCCACACAGTTATCTTTGTCATTCTATCATTGTTCTTTGTCTTCACTTTTTTTATTATTATTTTGTCTCGTTGTGCTTGTTTTCTTACATTTTTGTTTTCTTATTGGTCATGTTGTTATCTATTTCAAAATTGAAAATTACAAGTAAATTATTCAGAATTACTCCGAATCTGTTTTTCTCTCTCTTCTAGCTGTAAAAGTATAGTTCATAATATTTTATAGTACTCAAAATTATAATTGAAAGGTTACTCAAAATCTTATATCTAATACTACGGGTAAGCAAGTCACAAGTTCCCTTCAAATCTTGCCTATGTATCTAATACAACAAGTAATCAGTGACTTTAATTTTAATTTTATAACTCTTTTTTTTTGTTTTAATGTAATTAACACTTCATTTCAGTTCCTAATTTCTACCAACGTTGTTTTCTTTTCTTTTTTTTTGCCATTGATGCTGCCAAAATTCCATGTTAGCACGTTTATTTTATTTTAGTCACAGATATAATTAAAAATATTTTAATTAAGTCTTTATATCCTGCATACTTTCTGCATATTAAATATCTATGGTGTCTCAAAGATAACAATGAATGAAGCAATTATTTAATAAGTGAAACCATATTACCATATTTTATTATTTAGTAAAATAAAATGAAAGTTATAAAATTATAATTTTTAACTATGAAATTAGTTAAAAACTCCATAAATTTGTAGCTAAAAAATTTCTATTGTATAAATAACTTATAAAATTAAATTATTTAATAAAAAATAAATTAATTATGTAAGCAACTAATTTATGTTGAATGACTTAAAAGAACAGTTAATATTATATCAATATAATATTAAAATTAGATATAATTTATTTTAACATATTTAATTAACAAAATAATATTATTAATTCAAACAATAATTTAAATTTATTTTTAAAATTATTAATTTTAATATATTATATTAATAAATATTGTATGAATTAATTTAAATAATTTAATTTTATAATTTATTTCTTAATATTAAAATATTATTTATCTATCTAATAAAATATATTATTAATTATTAATAATAGAAACATAAAAATAGAGAAAAAAAAAAGAAAAAGAGGCTACCATGAAAAATAAAAGAACAAAAAACAATAATATTAACATACTAAATTTGTTTTTAATTGTGTGAATGATAAATTATTATTTTTTAAATAATAAAAAGTAAAAATATAATAAAAATATTAGTAATTAGTTGTTAAAAATTAAATGCTTCTTTAAATAACTTTTGAAAAACTATCTTTTTATAAATACTTTTTGTTTTATATTTATTAAATGACTCTACAAGCTTATTATCAAGTGATACAATTTCATAAATAAGTTACAAGTTAATTTTACTAAATATAGCCTAAAATTAAAATTTTAGACTTTTGTACTAGGTTTCTTGAACTCACAAATATAAATTCAAAACAATATAGATTTCTAATTTAAACAATAGGAAAATGAAAGTCTAATCTTTTATATTGCTCAAAATATGAAGAAGAGGTGAATGAGATTAGTGTAGCCCACGGATACATAGTTTGTAATGGATCAAGGTGATCTTCTAAGAATATTCTTAACGCATGAACAAGTGATATTGTTGTTGTGTAGCTAATTAGTTAATAATTTTGTTTTGTAAAATTTAAAATGTGTAATTGTCTGCATAAAAAATTATAAATTAGTTTGCAATAAGTACATCTTGAATAATATTAATAATTAGCAATTATTTAATATTGGGAGTGATTAACCTAATGTAACATGCAACAAATTTAGTTATATTTTCTTTTTTAATATTAAAAACTTTATTTTAAGTTTGTAAAAGACATGTATATTTAATTATGTAGGAAGTTGACTAAAAATTTTTCAATCGTGTTAAAGCTTAAAAACAAAATAATAACGTGTTAAATTTATTAGTGAATTTTAATAATAGTTAACAATAAAAATTAAAGTGAATGAAGAAATTAAGAATTAAAATGAAGTGTTAATCAATTTATAAACAAATTAATTCTTTAGTTGACTCTTAAAATTTAGGTGAATTATTGAAATTAATTTTGTTGTTTTCCTTTTTTTTATTTTGAATAGGATAATATATTGAAAGTATCTTTCATTTTGAGATCAAGTATTTCCACCTTGATGCTTTAACCATTTAAAAATGATATTATTTTTTATTGGCTTTCACTGATTGAACAAAAGTGTCGGCACTAGTCACTAAGTATGGCTACACAAGGATGTTGAATAGGATAAATTTTAGGTGTTTTTTTTTCTCTATGCTCTTCACATAGAGAGCAGTGAGTGAGACACTAATACAAATACAATAATAAATAACATAACAAAATTAAATAATCTAACTTTCAAAAATTTATGAAGAGTAACTACAAAAATTACAATAATTAAAAATAATAAAATAAAAAATATGCACGAAATTGTTTAGTAATGTGAAAAACTTCTTTACTATAAGAAGTAGAAAATATAAGTCTTTCATATTAAAGCAATATCTTTACTATAACCAAATAAAGATATAAAAGAATAAAAAATAAATGCACAAACTATGCTTATAACTAATCAATCAAACTTTATATCAAAACTTACAAAGTAAGAACTAAAGAAATTAAAATATCTATAAAATTGAGTTAGTCTATGAACATCATTAATCACACTATAAACTTCATTTTAATAATTCAACATTTTAAAATGAAGAACTATATATAGTGAAATTATCAAATTTTTAACTTGATATAATAGAAAATAACTTTGTAAATATAATTTTATTAAGATTACTTTGAGTTTGTGCAAAAATAATTTTATTTTTATTTTTTGATGGAGTTGCTCACTCGCTTTACTTATTACTTTCTCTTGATCTTAAAAATTTATATACACTTTTATAAACAAGACAAAGTAAATTTGTTTATTTTAAATTTTTTATATAACATTAAATGTGATAACAATACTCATCAAATAGATCAACACTTCTTAATATTTCTGACTATAATATATTTTACAGGACAATCATTTTTTAAAATAAAGATGTGTAACATTATTCTTACTTTATTTTATCCTATATTTTCAATGGGTAAAATTACCTTACCTATCTCTTAAAATTGAGTTTAAAAATTCATAAATAAAAATTTTTTATAAAAAAATATATAGTTATTATATTAAATTTTTTAATAAAATTTTATTATTATTAACTATTTATCTTCAATCTTTAACTCTAAGGGCTAAAGTTAACAAATTTTTTTTATATATGATAAAATTAAATAAAAAATTATATATATTTTATCTTAAAAACTTAAAATATATTAAATATTTTTATTTAATAATTAAAAATTTATAAATAATAAGATAATTTGTAATTATCTTTTAAAACATTCTCTTGCAATTTATGTAGTATTTGTTATGATTTTTTTTATAAGTTGTTGTTTGCATTAATTATTATTATTTTTAATTATACCTTTAGATAAGATGAAGTAATTAATTAGGTATAATGAGAGTTGAATATGTATTTCAACAATTTTAAGGAAAATTTTGAATTTTTTAAAATTTTGAATTTTTTCATGTTATTAATGAAATTAACTACTCTTCTTAAATTTTATAAAGTATTAAAGGTAACAATTATTAAAAGTATTATTTAAACAAAAAATAGTAATATTTTTTTAATTATAAAAATTATAAACTAATTTTTAAATATATTAATTGATTAAATATTTTTATGATTTTATTAAATTTAGTCTTTAGAGTTAAGTTTAAATATCTAAAAATAATAAATTTTTTATTAAAAATATATTTATTACACCTTCTCATTTTTAAGGCGATCAATAGTTTCCTTTTTAATATTTTTGAATTTTAGTTATTTATCTTAAATTATAAAAACTGGAGTTAATATTTTCTTTTTTATATATTTTATTGTAAATTTTGTCTTAATAAAGCATTTATTTATTTTTAATCTCTATGCAAATGTGACTTGAACAATTTTTATTTATTTCAAATTATTTATTATTTTAAAATATTAAAAAAATAAATAAATTTTTAATAACACCCTTATTATGAACAAATTTTGCCAACTAACAATTAAAATAAATATAAAATTAATTATCATGTAATTGTTGTAATAACTTCAAATTTTTTAATAAATATATTTTAGTAAAATTATGTTGTTTTATTATAATAATTAATAAGAATAATTATTTTGTTAAGATATGTATATTAATACCAAGTCATGTTTAATACGAGACCAAAAAAATAATATATAAAACATTAATATGATAATTTGTAAGTATTTTTAAAATGAAATATAAATTTATAATATAATTATAAATTTAATAATTATGAAGATTTATAATAAAAAATAGAATTATTGTAAAAAATAAAATATCTGTCTGAAATAAATGTGATGACAAGTATCTTTTTGGTTTTTTCTGTTACAAGACAAAACAATGGCCTAGATTACCGCGAAAAAGGGCAAAAAGTAATGTAAAAATGGTCAAGTCAAAGGCAATAGATGTGAATGTGAAAATAGATGTGAATGTGAAAAGGCAACGAGGGCAATATTGGCAGGTACGACCCCATAGCAAGCAAAATGCATGTTACCAAATTTTAATTAATGACTATTACCAAATTTTAATTAACGATGAACTAGGCCTCTTAACACACCATAATAAAAATCACTGTGATAACTCATAGAACCCCAAAGCAGCGTCACGCTCACTCCCTTCTCTCGTGCCTCTTCCTCTTCTTCTCTCAAACCACTGAGCCAAACCTTAGGGTTCCTCTGTTCTTCTTCGACCAAAAATAATTCTTAGGGCTCAGAAAAATTCATCCATTCTCGCCATTACTGAAGCTCTAACCCCTTGCATTTCCAACTCTTCATCTAAACCCTTTCTCAGAAACAGAGCTCAGAAACACCCACACGCATGGCAAAAACGAGGCCAGGCAGAAAAGACTTAGACTCATACACCATCAGAGGAACCAACAAGATCGTAAGAGGTAATCGCTGGAAACCCTTTTCCCCTTTCAACCACCCACTTGCGTTAACAGCTTCAAAATCGATCCTTTGTGGAAGGGAGTGAAGGGAATGGCTAGAAACCATGTGGGTGTTGTTTAGATTAGTGAAAGGTGTGATTTTTATTTTTATTTTTGCAGTTGGGGACTGTGTGTTGATGCGTCCTTCTGATACTAGCAAGCCACCGTACGTGGCGCGCGTGGAGAAGATCGAGCAAGATAGCAGGAACAACGTTAAGGTGCGTGTGAGGTGGTACTATCGACCAGAAGAGTCTATTGGAGGACGCAGACAGTTTCATGGGGCAAAGGAACTGTTTTTGTCTGATCATTATGATGTTCAGAGTGCTCACACCATTGAAGGAAAGTGTGTTGTACACTCTTTCAAGAACTATACTAAGCTTGAGAATGTAGGTGCTGAAGATTACTATTGTAGGTTTGAGTACAAGGCTGCTACTGGGGCTTTCACACCTGACCGTGTTGCTGTGTGAGTTTGTTTGTGATTTTAGTGAAATGATGGTATGGTGGTTGAAATGGTGTGTTTTATGTTGCTCATTTGGTGCTGTGTTTTGAAGGTATTGCAAATGTGAGATGCCTTATAACCCGGATGACCTCATGGTGCAGTGTGAGGGGTGCAAGGACTGGTAAAACCACTGTATTCTGCTTTACTTTGTTTACTTTTGTTGCAGCTTTGAGTGATTTTTAGTTTAATTTTAGCTTCGGATGTGCTGGTTTGCTTGGATGAAGGGATTGTTGATATTTCAGCTCCTGCAGAGCCTTTCTAAAGGCTTTTAACCTTGAACAAAAGGAAGAAATGATGAAGACTACCAAAAGACTTTGAGAAGCCCTAGAAAGACGGCTTCCTAAGTCTAATAGTTTTAATGCAGTCATTAAATTTTTTTTGTTGGAACTCTGTCTTGGCTGATGGACATGTTTTGTGTGTTGCTCTTGACAAAGCCTTCTGCTTATTCAATGAAAAGAAAGCAATTGAGATCAATGTGGGAAATGAAAATATAAAATATTTTCTAATGGCAAAAGAGCTACCTATATTAAAATATTAAAAAAGTATCAGATGAATTTTGTGGTGTTTAAACTGATGATATCTTTAGATTGTCTTCTGTCAGCCTAAAAGTCTAGATTTTGGGTTCTGCTGTTTCTTTTTTCCAACATGTATGCCACTATAGATTGAATGGGGCAGGGGGTTATTTCACTTGTGCTTTGATCAATTTTGACCTTATTTGGTTTCACGCTTTCACTCAGTGGATTTTTTTTTTCAAATTTAAGGAGTATCCAAGAAGTCATGCTACTACAGTTTTTTTATGTTTCCTAGCAATAGATTTTATGAAAGAAACACTTTTCAAAATTTGTAGGTTTCTTGTAGGTACCATCCTGCCTGCGTGGGCATGACTATCGATGAAGCAAAGAAATTGGATCATTTTGTTTGTTCAGAATGTTCATCTGACGATGACATGAAGAAACCCCATGCCACATTTCCTGTATCACCAGGATCTGATGGCAAGGTGAGACTTCCTGATGCACTTTTACTTTTAGTCCTTTTATTTCATTGTACCAGCAAATGCTTCAGAGACATTAAGGATTAAAGGGAGAATGGGGCCACTTTTGTAGTATTTGATGGTTGGTGTCAAAAAGAAAGTTCTTACATAATAAGAAGTACTCTTTGAGCGGCTAGTTTTGACCCTGGCCATGTATTGTAGTGAGTCTGTGTACTGGTTAGCATGGAAGTTTGCTTCTTGTCTAGAAAGTGAAAGTTTGAGTTGTGTATTGTTTTGTATATATACTAATCCAATCGAGTTTGTATGGTCATGTGTGTTTATTGACACAAGAACCACACATTGCATTATCGATTTCCTGTGTGGTTTTTCTTAATCTGAAGGATTGAGGCATTTTGTAACATTGCTGTGAAGTGTGGTTTTCCTATGTCTGAATGATTTGGGCATTTTGTTACTTGAATTGCTGGGAAGTTTAATTAGTTAAAGATTTAAGGCTGTCAAATTGATTAAGAAATGAATTATAGATATTATGAAGCACCCTTTTGACTTTTAAATGCACTTTTTAATATTTCCAGTGTCTTTTATGTAATCTTGCCTGGAAGCTTTTGTTTATGTTTTCTTTTATTATGTGTGAATTTCTGAATGGCTGAAGTTATTGAGGTATAGATATATGAATGATATTCAATCTTTTGAGCTTTTATCTTGATATTTCTTGTGCCTAACATACATGTTCACTTTGTTCGGGGGGCTCTTTCTCAAATTTAATTTGTATTTTATTATGATGATTTCCAACATCTCAATTTCTTATATGTTCATTCCTAAATTGGAAACTATATAAATTGTGACCTGGACATTCTTTTGTTGACTAATTACACTGGGGAACTAATTTCTGTTTTTGCTTCGAGGGTAGGAGTAGTTTAGATGTAGGTATTTTATTTTTTCCATATACCAAGCTAAGTAAAATGAGGTTCCCAATCATGAGGTCGTTGAAGACTGAAGTCATGACTCACGATTAACCACTTCATTACCAATTGATTTTTCTAGTACCAATAAAATAAGTGGCGTTAAGAATGGTTGAATGGGCTTACAAAGTTAATTATGTATGTTCAGATTTGGATTCTGTTGACCAAAAAAAGATTTGGATTCTAATTGTATTAATCTGTATTGAGGTTTTTATAAAATGAATACTGTATGTAAGTTTATTATCTGTCTTTCTCTGTGTATGTTAAAGTTGTTATGCTTGACTGATCTACCAACTTCAGTCCTTTATTCTTCCTTTAATACATCTTCTGCATATAACACAGTTCATTTTGGGGGAAATAATTCAACCTTGTAAGAGGTTATATTTAAGCTTTTTTTTTTTTTCCTTGAAGGACATTATCCCCACTTATCAATGGTGTGAGTGTGTGGATTTCCCTTTTTATTTTGTATCTTGTTATTTTGTCCAGTATAGAGGCTTCAAAATTTTCTAGAGATGTTCAATTTGTGGTTTTGTTAGAACATGATTTGACTTGGATTGTCCTTCTGCTTGATGTATTCTGCAAGATGTCGAATGGTAGCTGTCATACTCATGTTGGCAAATAGTAATGGGATCTTTTGTGAGGACTATGTCTCAATGCTGTTGTCTGTTTACTCAGTGACATTATTTAGTAGTGGGGACCCTTTGCCATTTAGAACTGTTATTTGTAAGGTGGTGATTATGAACATAATAAAACTGCAAAATCATATATGAATATGTAGAGCTTGGATTCAGCATGGAGAGGGTGTCTCAATGCATACATTCATGTTTCACATTCCGTCTTTTACTTATCATGTGTTATAAATTTGATAGTCATGAATTTTCAGGTGGAACCAAAGCGGCGGAAGAGATGACTGTCACGCGGAATTAACTCGTCTTGGAAAATGCAACTTTTGCTGAATTTGGCTGGCTATGTGGCAGCTGTTGTGTGTGTGTGTGTTGTACAGCTTCTACCAGAGGCTATAAACATTTTATGTATTTGACTCAGGCTATGTATGTATGTATGTATCCGTGTTAGATTCATGAGAGACGTTGATCTGTTTCCCTTGTGTCCAGGAAGATTAACTCCGGTCTTAAGTGTTAATGTCTGAGATATATAACACCAAACTTTGAACACTGGAGTAAAAAGAAATTATCAGTTTTCTAAAATTCGGGTCTTGTTTGTTTGCTCATTAGCTATTGTGCATCAAATTTCTACTGTTGTCTTATTTTGTTGCAAAGGGGAAAAAAAAATACTAGCTTCTGATTGGAGGGGTTTTCGTGTTATATATATTCCACCGCGACCCGCATGTCATTTCTATAGGAACTAAATGTTTGAATGTTATTTGGCAACTCATGATGGTTTAGCGTGAAACAGGTTCGTTGCGGCTGTGATTGTGCTTGTTTTCTAGTTTCAAGGAAATAAAAAGTATGAACAGTTTTTGGGATAATTCAAGTTGTCTCTTTAGGTGTATTTTTGGGGTGTGTATAAAAAACACAAAGGTGAAAGATTGTGGAAATTGTGTGCAGTTCAAATATAGTGTTAATTTTTAGTTATTTAAATAATAATTTTGAAGAAAAAATTGGTTTCTGAATATGTAGTGTGGTTGGAAAAATGGAAGTATAATCACTTAAACTAATATATAACGTTTTTTTCAAGGTTAATTAATTATGAATAATGTTTTTATAACACTTAGTTTTGGTGTTTATACAAGACATTCTATAAAAATATAGAATAATTATTTCATAATTTCTATAAGATGTCTACATATAAACACTCGAATTAGGTATTAAAAATAATATTATATTTTAATTGTTTTTATGTTGATTATATTTTAATTTTTCAGTTATACGAATTTTATAAAAGTTAATTAAGAAATTTTTTTATAATATAAAAATATTAATTTAACTCTTAAATTTGAGTTTAATCAATTAATAACAATAAAATTTATTTGAAAAATATTTATCATAATTTTATAATTTTAATGTAATAAAGTATATTTTTTAATTATTTGAGGGCATCACAGGGGCTGAGATCACAAAATCGTTTTATAAACTGTCAAGTGGATACTTCATTGATGTGCCTGATATATGTTAGGCACGAGAATTAAGCCGAAGAAGGCAAAGTAGCATGCATGCATACGGACGATGTCTATATTTACGTAAAATGGGACACCCTATGTGCTTGCACATGATGTTATGGAAGCACACGTTAGCTTAATTCAAAACCTTGAGATGCAAGCATGGAAGAAAAAAAATTTTGCTTCGCTAATTGGTTGTGTACTATCACTTGCAACAAGCATCAGCATTAGCATTAGCATGTTGATTTCCAACTTTCCATTAAAGCATTCTTCAGAAAAACCATATATCAGTTCTATTACTTGGCTTTGTTGCAACTTGCAAGTGTGCGGGATCAATGGTTTCCAATGAATAAAAGGTCACTGGGTGATTCAGATGCAGTGGGAATTGGTTAATCTGCTATCACGTGTCATGATACAAAGGAAAACTCAATCGCATGTAATGTGATGCGTAGCTTTCCTTTGACTTATTCGCACCGATATTTAATTTGAACGAAAAATTTCTACACTCGACTATAAATGTCAAGGAAATTTGTTTCAAGTCTCTTTTGTTGTGATATGCATTGGCTTTGGTCAATAAATAGACCCCACTCTAGATATTGCTTTTGCTGCAAGCATGAAGCCTCAAGGCACATGCATGCAAGTTAAGCACGCTCAGAGCTAGGGTGGTGGAGAAAGAAATAAAGAAAGAACTAAGAAAGAAAAGGCTATATTGGCAGCTAACGATAAGTACTGATCAAGTTCGACATCTAGGGTTAGTTATATATGAAGACATACATATATATGAAGGAGGAGGATGCATTGAAATGGAATGTTGAAAGGTGCAAATATATGCAGTTGAAAGAGTCAAATCTTATATATCATTTTTGTGGAAGTATACTATTAAATATATGTATCAACGCATAGTTTTTCACTTCCTAAACCTCTATCTGTGTTTTTGGTTTGGGTACCTTGAGACGGATTTGAAAGAGGCAGCTAATAACATGTTCAATCTTTTTATCATTAGTTAAAATTATTAAAAACTTATCTGAGTTTTACTTTTAATTAAATAATTTTTGCTTATATACTTTTTTTTAATAAATTTTAATTAATAATTAAGAATATATCAAGAAAAGTATATTTTTATTACTTCTCTTAAAAGACAGTATATGAGATAATATCATAAAGCTATTTCTGAGTACCCTAATGCTACAGCAGATTTTCTTTACACAGTTAATTTCATGGACGCAATTGGAGCAGCAATGGAAGGTATTGATTATTAATTAATTAGCATAAAGACTTTTTAAGGGTGGGTGTCACTGTGTGATTTTGTAACTTTAATTCCTAATTAATTATGTGCTTTGTCAGCTTGATTATTACCATTACATTAATGTGGGCCAACCCACTTAACGACAAGTCGTGGAAGAGGGTTGTTTGAATTTTACGTTTATATTTGCAGTGGGATTCAGATCCACTTGTTTGAATTATTAGAATGGGGACTCAATTTCTTAATATTTTTGAAAGGTATTTGTTATTGAATCGGTGTATATGTTAATACTGTTATTAAGATAATGTTAACACTATATTATTTTTGACTTTTTTTATTACATTATATTAATTAATAAGAGAATCTAAAAATATTAAATTTTAAATAAAAATAAAAATATCATAAATATATAAAAATCTATAAATATATATTTAAGCAAAGGTATGTGAAGAGATCTCGCATGCACATAATCACGGATGTGAAGAGCATTGTCGCACCTGCATGACTTTCCAAGAGCTTTATTTATTTATTTATTTATTATTATTATTATTTGATTTTCTTTAACCTTAGGGCCTCCAATTTATGGAAAAAAATCATTTTAAATAATAGATTTTAATAGCTTTTTTTACACTCGTCTCATGTCTGTATATAGAGAAAGAGATTGAATTCCTTTTGCTTCTTTTTATCATAAAAATTCAAGTGTAGGAACAAAGTAAAAAAAGCATAAAAAAATATTATCGTCAAATTAAATAATTTTCTAAAAATTGAGAGGAAAAATTATTTTGCTTTAAGGAAAATATTTAATATTATTCTTTGTTTGGATATAAAAATACAAGAATAATGTTAAAAATAATTATTTATTAATTCTACTTTGAAATGATAATATGTTAAATTCCTATAATAGTAATAATTTTAAATTTGACAAAATTATTCAAAACAAATTAAATCTTTAATGACTAGGTCAAGATAATATAATCATGGATAAGATCAGAGAATTCAAAAAAGTTAAGACAAATTTGAGCCTATTAAGCATTAATCTTATTTAATATTTAGTGCACATTAAATAACTTAATAACTAATATTAAATAAATAAAATTCTATTATAGTAATATTTTAAAAATAATAAATTTAAAAAGCAATAAATATTATAATTATTAATAATAAATATTTTATTATATTAAATATATAATATTAAAAATTCATTTGTCATGATAAAAAAAATACCTATTTCGCAATTCAAAAAGAATGTACTCTTTTTGCTAGGGTTTTCAAGATTTAATCTTTCTTTTCAAGAAAAGTGGAGAGGCATCGCTAGGGATCTCGCCCTAGGGCCTCTGTGCTTCAGCGTTCCCTCTCCTAATTCTTCCGTGCAGAAGGGTTGTTTGTGACATTTCGGTGTTGATTTCAAGCCACAGCTCTAGTGGCTCTCGAAGGATGGAGCGCTGTGAGATAGAAAAATGGTCTAGTGATGAGGTAGATCGAGATGGCAGGAACTCAAAGAAGGTGAAGACAGATCAGAAGACTTTCTCAGACCTGTTAGAGGGTTACATGCAAGAAGATCCTGGCCTTGAGCCTCTGAAGTCCCATCAAGTGTTTTCTGTTTAAAGTCATAACCTTTCTAATTTTTCTTCTTATAAGGATAAGGTGCTAGGGTCCCGTGATATAGATCTTGTTTTAAATGATGATGATATTATAAAATCTGTTTTAGATGATTTTAATATTCTTCTCGATTCTGATGAACATGATGAATCTTTTTCTATGCCTCAAAATCTTTGCCCCAATATTTTGATCCCTTTAGAAGATTATGAGGGGGTGGTGTAGTCTGTGGAAGTTTACTCTTATTGTCAAGCTTCTAGGTAAATCTGTAAGCTACAATTTCCTTAGTCAAAGACTAAATAATATTTGGGAAAAAAATGGGTCGTTAAAAATTCTGGATTCGAACAATGAATTTTTCCTAGTCAAATTTGAAAACTTAGATGATTACAAGATTGCTCTGTTTGATGGCCCTTGGTTGATTCTTGATCATTATCTCTTGGTGTAGAGGTGGAAGCCTTTTTTTAAGACCAAAGACTACAATCTTAGGAAAATCGCAGTGTGGGTCAGAATTCTTGACTTGCTTTTGGAATTATATGATAGTAAATTTTTGTGGCAGGTTGGTGCTTGCTTAGGAACTATGCTAAAGATAGATCCCTATACCTCATTGCTATCCAGAGATAAATTTGCTAGAATCTGCATTGAGATAGATCTTAGGAAGAAATTAGTTTATGCTTTTAGGGCCTAAGGTTAAGAGTTTAAGGTGGAATATGAGGGTTTGCATTTGATTTGTTTTAGCTGTGGTAAGTACGGACATAGACAAGAACAATGTGTAGATATGGCTAGGCATCATCATCCTGTTTTAGGGAACGAGGGGACCAATGTTAATAACTTAGGGAAAAGTGAGGTTAACCTAGAAGGTCACTTTGATTTGAATAAGGATATGATATTGGATGACCATGAGAATGGAGATGAGAATAAGGAGGGCCAGTTTGGTCCTTGGATGTTAGCTAAGAAATAATTTAGGAAAAAAACTCAATTCCTCCATTTCTTTTGGGCTGACTATAAAAAATGAAAAACCAAAAGACTTAGCCTCTGGATCTAGATTCAATGTTTTAGATAATAATGTAAAGGACCAATCTATGGTTTCAAGAGTTAGATAGGTAAAGATATATGAAAGTCACCGAAGTAAGAACCTAACTCTTAAGGAAAAAGTTGCTCATAAGTGGATAGATAAGCCTGTAAATAACACTAAAGTGGGGGATCATGTTAGGAAAGGGCCTAAAGGTAAAATTATCCCTAGTGGGGTCAAATCTAATTTAGAAGAAAAAGGTGGTGGCTATTCTGGTAAGGCTACCACTACCTGCAATTTCCAAGAATTTTGTCATAATGGTTCTAGTCAAGAAAACAAGAAAGTTTTAGGGATAATGTCTACTTTTGCAAAAGCCCTTCATGATAATAAGAACCTGGGGCATAGTCTTCAGGATATTATTGGTCTTAATTCTGATTTTCTATAGAGGGATGGAGTCTACCTAACTCATGTCCCCCATGATAAACCTCCCGATCCTCTCTTGTTAATGGAATTAGAAAACTCTTGTAATAATGGGAGTAGTTAGACTAATCCTATAGGTATAAAAGGTATTGTGTCAAGGACTCATCAACATCCTAAGGATGTATTAAGTTCCTCTCCTAAAATTATTTATGAATTGCTTGTTCTGAAACTATAGGGGTGCGGGGGGAAACTTTCTCTAGACTTATTAATAATCTCATTAAACTATATAACCTTGAATTTGTGGCCTTGTTCGAACCTAGAATCCACTCTTTTAAAGCTGATTCTATTATTAAGAAATTTAACCTAGATAGTTTTGTTAAAATAGATGCTTCTGGGTTTTTTAGGGGCATATGGTGCTGTTGGAATTCTAACAAAATTAAAGTTGACATTTTAGATAAAAATTATTATTTTATTCATTTAAAAATTAAGAATAGTCAGAGTGATTGAGTCTTATCTACTGTCTATGCCAGTCCTCGAGAGGGGTTGAGGGCAAATTGCTGGGAGTTGCTTTTTGAATTTTACTCTACTATTAACTATCCCTGATGCCTTGCAGGAGATTTTAATTCTATTTTTTTGAAAGTAAGAAGTCTGGAGGTAGACCAACCAATTTGCACATCATGAGACAGTTTGCTAATTGCCTCAACATTTGTGGCCTTCAAGACTTGAGATTTAAAAGAAGTCTTTTTACCTGGCAAAGAGGCAACATTAAAGAAAGGATAAATAGAATTGTAGTTAATGACTCTTGGCGAATGCTTTTCCAGAATAGCTTTCTCATCCACCTCCCAATCCCCAAATTTGATCATGTTGCTTTATGGATAAAAATTAGAAATAAGGATAGCTGGAGTTCTCAGTCTAAACCTTTTAAATTTCTAACCCTCTGGTTGTTTCATGAGGATTTCAATAACCAAGTTAGGAATTCCTGGATTACTTCTTGATCTTGGGCTGACAATGTTACTAGTTTTACTAGGAATATATTTGATTGGAGTCATAATGTCTTTGGAAATATTTTTAATAGAAAAAGGAGACTGTTAAATAGGATTCGAGGTATTCACTATAAGCTATCCATTCAAGATAATCCTTTTCTCTATAATTTGTTGCACTCTTTGTGGAAAGAATACCAAAATATCTTGAATTACGAAGAAATATTTTGGTTTCATCTGTATAAATCTAGTTAGCTTAGACTAGGAGACAAGAATAATAAATTTTTCCATAGAACTGTTATAAACTGTATACTTTCTAATCATATTTTTTCCTTTAGAAGTGAGGATAATACATTGGAATTTAATCCTCTTAAGCTTTAAGACCTGACTATTAGATATTTTAGGAATTTATTTACTGGATAAAAATCTAGTCCTGATGGGTGTTCTCTTTCTACTATCTCTGGGTTTCTTTCCCTTAGCGAAGAAGATAACTTAGTTTTAAATGCTGACCTATCTTTAAATAAAATTAAAGTTGCCTTATTCAGTATAGGTAATATGAAAGCCCCTAGTCCTATTTTTTAAAAATCAGTGGGAGGTTTTGGCCCTTTTTATTTGCAAATTTGTCTCTAATATGTTTGATAACCCTAGTAATATTGCCTCTGTTAACAATACAAGTATTACCCTCATTCTTAAAATTGAAAATCATGATCATATTAAACATTTTAGGCCCATCTCTTTATGTTATGTTAGTTATAAAATTGTGACTAAACTCTTAGCTAATAGAATTAGGGAATCCTTGTCTCATATCATTTCTGCTAGCCAAACTAGTTTTATTCCAGGGAGACAAGATATAGATAACACTATTATTTTGTAAGAGTTGGTGCATTCTGTTAATAATCTGAAGGCTAGTAGTAGGTTCATGATTATTAAGATTGATTTAGAGAAGACTTATGATAGACTTAGGTGGCAATTTATTGATGATACTCTTAAGAATATAGGTTTCAGTCACGAGTTATGTGACATTATTAGATATTGTGTGTCCTCTGTATCTATGTTCTTAAATTAGAATGATTATAGGACTAACTCTTTTATTCTTAGCAAAGGTATTAGGTAAGAGGATCCTATTTCCTCTTATTTATTTGTCATGTGTATTGCGAGACTTGCACATCTTATTCAGGATAAAATTAATAGCGGTTGTTAGACTCCCTTCTCTGTTAGTAATATGAGTCCTAGTATATGTCCTATATTTTGTTGCTAATGATATTATATTGGTTGCTAAAGCTGACAGTCTGAATGTTGAGGTTATTTTTGAGGTTTTGAATGAATTTTGTTTTATTTCAGGGTTGTCTATTAATAAAGATAAATCATTTGTGTGTTTTTCCACAAATTGTGATACTGTCCTATCTATGGGACTTGAGTACTAAGCTTGGTTTTAAATCTTGCTCTTAGTTTGGAAAATATCTTGGAGTCCTAATTAGTCATATGAAATTGTCGAGGCATGATTTTGCTTTCATAATTGATAAAATTAGGAAAAAATCATTTGTTTGGAAAATGAACTCACTATTCATAGCTGGTAGAATTACCCTTGCTCAATCTTGTATTATGAGCATCTCTAATTATTTTATGCAAACTGTCTTTTTTCCTAAATATATGCATAAAGAAATTGATTCTATTTGTAAAAAATTTATTTGGGGATCTTCAGAGGGGTAGAAAATGCCATTTAATTGGGTGGAAAAAAATTTGTAGACCTAAGAGTGAGGGTGATTTAGGTTTTAGAAATGTCGCTTTAATTAATCATGCCTTTCTCATGAAACTTTGGTGGGGACTCATTTCGTATCATGTTGAGTTGTGGGCTCAGGCCATTTGTAGGAAGTATAAGTTTTTCTTAGGCAAAATTCTCATGATTAATAATAATAAAAAAACCTCTCCCCTTTGGAAACCTATAACGGCTGTCTGGGGTTCCTTCTGTTAGGTGTTGGGCTGGTCTTTAGGGAATGGGATGAATGTTAGATTCTGGAAGGATAATTGACTTTCTAATCACCAGAATATGATCTTCAGCCTTTTGCTGGAGAAGATTTGAACGAACCTGTAACTAATTTTGTTATTCAGGGTAGATGGGATTGGAATAGAATTCATCAAGTCCTCTCTCCCTTTATTTGTAACTCTATTTTAAGTATTGATCCCCCTATTTTGAATCGGGATCAGGATTAATTTTTTCTGGAATTTGCCTTCTAATGGTATTTTTTCAATCAAATCGGCTTATAATCTTATTTCTTGTCAGACCCTAAGTGGACAGGTTGATAACCATATTTTTAAATTAGTTTGGGATTCAGAGGGATCCCCCAAAAATTAATGTTTTCCTTTGGAAAGTTGCTCATGGTAAGCTTTTTACCAATAATGAAAGATATATTCGCAAAATATCTTCTCCTTTGTGTCTTAGGTGTTTTGAGGCACCTGAAACAATAGTTCATGTCCTCAGAGATTGTGACTGTGCCTCCCAAATCTGGAACTAGTTCATCCCCCCTGACAAATGATCGTCTTTTTTTAGTTTTGGCATTCATAACTGGCTGCGATTTAATCTGTCCAGCAACAATTTTCCCTTGTTTCCTCCTTGGAGTAAACTATTTGGTATAATCAGTTGGAATCTTTGGTGTAATAGGAACCATGTGATTTTTCAGAACCCCCTTATCTAATGATGCTTTGTTGATCAAAATAATTCATGATTTTGACAGTATGTTGTTTGTGACATGGGCAACTAGAATCATATTGCTGGTAGCTTGGAGCCCAAAACTCTTTTTAAGTGTATTCCTCCTTTATTAGACCAATTTAAGTTGAACATCGATGGAGGTGCTTGTCTTTCTGCTGATGGAGCTAGTTGTGGGGGTCTGCTGGTTTTTATAAGGTGCTCCCACCTTGTTCTCCCCTTGCGGCATAATTGTGGAGAATTTATTGGGGTCTTGATGTTGTTATCTCTAGGGGTATCAGGGTAATATGAGTTGAATGTGATTCTACAAATGTTATTTCTTTAGTAACTAATATTCAAAGTTGTGTTCATCTGTTATTTTTATTATTGATAAAATTAGGTACCTTCTTAGAAAAATTAAGTTTGTTAGGTTGAGCCATGTTTTGAGAGAGAACAACCAATGTGATGATTGGCCGGCTAAGCATAGGTCTAAGGATGGTATATTTTCTTCTTATTTTACTAGGGCTCCCCCTTTCCCTTGATCCCCTGCTAAAAAATAAAAAAATAACTATTTCTAAAATTGCTTTCTTTAAAAATATTTCTAAAACTGCTCTCATTTAAAAATAACTCTTAAAAATGATATCATAAAATTAGTATTTATAAAATATATATTGAGATTTATTTTATTTTAAATAAGATTTTAATTCTTATAAATATTTTTAAATTTAGCCATCCTAATAAAAGATTTCTAATATTGCAGTTTTTTTTTTGTCACACCTCAAGCATTATTTATTTAATTTTTCATGTAGAAGTTATTTGAGTCAAACATAAACATAATTCAAAATTAACATGCATGTAGGTATAAAAAGATAAAGCAATTAATTTATTTATATGAGTAGTACAATTTATTTATTTATATGATCACTTACAAGTTTTAAATATACGTGAGAGATCCCACCTATGAATTAGATCTTGAAATGACGCGAATTAATATTAAACCAAACTTTGGGACATGGAAGAATCAGTCCTCATTTATAGTTGTATTATCAGTGATCTTGGAATATATGGCATATTTTTCCGTAATAAACTAAGGTGCAATTAACCCATTACATGACTTTCAATTACTTGTCCATCCTAGCTTCTATGACCACCATCATTTATTTATATTTTTATTTTCAAAATATTAATTCGTATGCACTTGCCAAAATTTTTATAAATTGAGCTACCAAATGGTATGCAAAAGTTAAATCTTGGATCTAACTTATTCTTATAGTCTAAAGTCATAAAGTTAATCCCTTTGAGGATTCTGTTCATTCTATTGTTCCTTTGCAGAAATGAGAAACATATCCAGAATTCCATTTATTTTCTTTCTTCTTTTATTAGTATTTAAGGTTCAAGGTCGCTATCTGCCAGAGCACGCTTCCGAATTGGTTTCAGATGGAGTTCATAATGTTGAACACAGCAAAAGTTCATACTTAGTTATTAAAGGAATTGATGAATCCTTTGAGGATGAGTGCAAGCAAATGTACGGTTTCTTGCCATGTACAAATAATATTTTTGGGCATCTCTTTCTCATTTTGGTGTATGAGTATTTGCTGTTCCATGGAGAATCATATTTGGCTAATGGAGGTGAACAAATCTTCAAGATTCTTGGCCCTGGTATCTTTGGTGCTAGTGCTTTTCATATCATTGGTGCCCTTCCAGAGTCCTTAATCCTTCTTGGTATGCTATCTTAGAGCTTTTCTGAATAATACGTTAAATTAAACCATAAAATTCTGAATACTCTGATTACTTTAATTTCTAGAATAGTAAACTTTTCATTTTACTGTATAAAATTATTACATGCATTTTAAAGATTCATTTTTGATATTGCATAAAAAACTAAAATGATTGGCATTTTTATAATTTTAAAGATTAAAATAATACTTTAATAATTTTGTAAACTAAATTTGCCACTGTTTATAATTTTGCTAGTTATTGGTGTGTGTGTAAAATGTTAATAAAACAACATGCAGTTGTTTACATTTAGTGTAACTAATAAATTAGCAATGTTTAAAATTAATATTATTCATAGTATATGAAATGTGATATCTGCATATATGAACACAAGTTAATTAATGTCAAGTCTGCTGTAAACACTTGCCAAGACTTTATGATATCCGATAAGCAACTCCGTCTATGCATATCATTACGTGACAGGGAACAGCTTTTGTGACTCGTGAACCACTAATGTTATTGCTTGTACTCCTCTGTCACCTTTTAAAATGTTATTTAATGTTAATGTACATATTTAAAAGAATAACTAAATTTATTAATTATTGTTATAATAAAATAAATTGTAATAAATAAATAAGAGTTTTAGTATGAGATGGAAAGAGTAATTTTCTATTTTTTCTAATTCAAGGGTGCTGACCTTTACGCAAAAACGTGAGCGTCTGAACATAAAGTTGGACCAATAATTGGTGTTAGCTTATTATCTAAGTGTCTAAATATTACGATGATTTAACATGTTAAACTTGTATCTTACACACACGGAACTATCTACAATTTGATATTATTTAAAATAATTCCATGAATTGAACTAATCTCAATCTTTGACCTATTTTTCTCTCTCTCCTCATGTATGGTAATATATGTGAATTTAATTGGTCAATGCCTATTTTGTAAAATTTTGTATCATTAATTATTTTTAAAAAAGAAATTAAACATACTCTTAATGTCTCTAATTAAAATTATAAATCATCGAGTACTTTCTCTTGGCACCCTTCTAACATTGGCTTTATTCGATTAAATTATTCATAATGCTCATTAGAGGTCTGAATACTAAGGCCTATTTATGCATCAGTTCTAATAAATTCTGTTAAAATTAAATTTTCTTCCCTCTCACAAAAAATGTCTCTTAAGTACATTAACTGATGAGTTATAATAGTATTGTTTAAAATTAAATAGTTTTGGACATGCATATGTGGGTATATTATTAATTTAATTTAATTTTTCATTCATGTTAATATTTGATTAGTCTCTGGACTTGTGAGCAGTAGGGAGATAGCACAAGAATATGGCTTTACAGGAGTTGGCTTATTGGCCGGATCATCCATTTTGCTTCTAACAGTAGTTTGGGGAAGCTGTGTTATTGCTGGCAGTCAAGAATTTGTGCATGATTCTCTCCGTTCTAACTCAGTTCATAGAAGTCTCAAAGTGTTATTGACTGGTCAGTTCCAAATTCCAACTCACTCTTACATTCTAATCGTGTTTGAAATATATACAAATGCATATTCTAAAAAAACTACTCACGATTTCCTATCTATGAAACATTTATAACTATGAGAATTATAAGAAAAATAAAAGTACAAATACTTGATCACTTGTTTGGTGGATGTGAAGGTTGTGGCATTGTTACGGATTTGGAAACCAGTTACACTGCAAGAATCATGGTTTTCTCAGTTATACCACTTGCAATCATGCAAATCCCAACTTTTTTCCAATTCTCTTCAGGCCCAAGAAGCATGACCTTAGTAGTTGCTCTCGTTATTTCCACCATTTTTCTGCTCTTGTACTTCATTTACCAGGTTTGTCAATTTCAATTTCTTTTATGCCAAATGTTAATGAATGTTCGTATAAAGCATTTGAGGATTCAAAAATTTTAAACAAATATTAAATGAAAAAAATATATTTTTAAAACTCTCAATATGTATTATGCATAATACCTTTTGTAAAATACTTTCATTTTTATTTCTTAAAATCCTTAACTAGTAAATATCCTTAAAGCACTCCTTAATATAAGACCTATTATAATCAACATTAAGTTATTGAAATAAATTTTTCTAATCTTTTAATTAAAACAATGATTAGTAAAATGTAACAAGCAAGCAACATAACCTGTACAATAAATTTGTTGTGAAAATATTATAATTTTGTTAATATAACATACTCGATGCAGTATCTTTTATTCTGGTAGAGAGAAATATCTGTGAAATACTAAGAATTTTAATCAAATTACCACAGACCACTACAACATATATCCGGCTAGAAACATATGCTCACGCTAAATAAACTCTCTAACACACTTTTATTTAGATAAAATTTATTAAAAATATATAAAAAATATGAATTCTACTATTAATTTAATAAATAACTCAGATTTTTATAATTTTTAATAAACTTTAAATAATTAAAGTATATTAAAAAGTTATTACTAACACTCCTCGTGTGTGTATACAACATATTTATACAGTGTGTGTGTTTTGGTCTTCAAGACCTGTTTGGAACTGTACCTGTTGAAAAACAAATGCACTGATGTTTTAGAATCAACTACTAATTGAAATATAAAACCTTGTGTGTGTTTTTTATACGTAACTAGTATCTTGTCAAAATCTTTGACATCAATATATCATGCCTATCACAATTCAATTATCCATCACTAACCATAACTTACTTTATCCACTACCGGAGTATGTGATCCTATAACTATTACATTTACTTTGTATTTTTGTAATGCTTACAATTCCACTTAGTAATTTTCTTCCACTTTTTGGCCATTTAACCTGCAGATTTTTGAACCATGGGTACAGAAAAGAAGACTGGAATATGTGAAACACGATCATTTAATACTAAGAATATTAGAACATGTTCAAAAGAACACCCTGCAAAGGATCCTCACCAAGAATGGGACTCCAAATGTGAGCGCCATAAGAAGGTGAGATTAAGAAGAACTGCTACTTTGATCAGTCAACAAAATTATTATTTGTTCATTTCTTTTTTAACTTGTGCTTAAGTGTTAAGACCAAATAAAAAATAAAAATTTATTTAACAAATATATAATATTATTAATGCATTAGTTTTGTGATATCATATAATTTTTAATAAAAGAACTATTGTATATAAATTCTTAATCTATGCTTTTAACCACAATCTGCTTTATTGGCATTACACTTTGCAGGCTATACAGGGAAATAGATCCAGAAGGGAGCAGTGGTATATCAGCAGCTAAAGTAAAAGACCTCCTGCTTAGAAACAAAGTAACTGAAACAAATATGGATGAGGAGAAAGAAATAAAAGAGGTGTTAGAAATTTTTGACCTGGATGGTGACCAAAAAATAACTAGGGAAGAATTTGTCAGTGGTTTCACAAAATGGCTTGATCAAACAAAGCATGCTTTAGATAAACAGTATTTTTCAAGGAAATCACTCAAGGAAATATATCAGGTCCATGATACACCCTCTTTCTTGAATTCCATGCATTATACCAGACCATTTCCTTTTATATTTTGAGTAAATTCAATTTTTCTTCTTTATATATTCCATAGTTGAATCTTACTTCCCAGCTCCTTTGTCTAAACAATCCTTCACAATATTTGGTGAATTTGTGAAGAAAATGATAGGTGGATTAATTGGAAATAAAAATATAAAAACACCTAGCAAGAACTTCCTTCTGACAATTAACTGAAATCATTGACAGGTTTTTGGACCATGGATTGAAAACAAAAGAAAGGAACATGAAGGAAAGAAACAACTTATATCTGAAATCTTAAGGCATGTTCAGAGTGAAATGGTTGGCAACCTTCTCACAGCAGATGGCAAACCTAACGAATATGCTATCAGAAGGTCACATTATCTTGAATTGTTTCTCTAAACTAGGCACAAGCACAATAATACATTTTAATTATTAGATGTGAACTCCACTTCAAAACCATTTACTAGTTCAAAATTCAAATTGAAAGCTTCTAATTACATGAAAATCCTAATATGATTCCAATGACTATATAGTATACTTGTCTAATTAAGAGAACAACAAATTCATAAAAAGCCACTGTGATCACCAGGTTGTTTGAGAAAATTGATAGCAATAGAGATAACTGCATTTCCCACTCTGAGTTGAGAGAACTAATCATGAACATCAAATTTGTCAAATTTTCAATGGAAGTGGAGGAAGCAGTTGCTTTAGTCATTGAAGAACTTGACCTTGACAAAGACCGCATAATTAATGAGGAGGAGTTTGTAGCTGGATTTCAAAAATGGCTTAGCTCAACTTCAGCTCCTGCAATTGAGTCAGATTCTGAGTCACAAGAAGATATTTATCAGGTAATTAAGTATATGCTCAATTCCCTTTGTCCAAAAAAACATCAACTTTTAATTGTTATGCCTCATTTTTTATTGATCAAAAGTGAGCAATTCCCACTTAACACACTTTTTATTGTGCATATTAGACCTGGGAAGAGGCTGATATGGTGGTGGAAGAAAAGCAAAGCAAAGCAGTAATTGACAAATCATTATGGGCCTGGTTTAAGGCCATAACATATGTGGTGCTAGGCATTGCTATGCTCTCCATTTTGGCAGAGCCCTTAATAGAAAGTGTCCACAACTTCTCTAACAGTGCAGGACTTCATCCATTCTTCATCTCATTTATTCTAGTCCCTTTGGCCACAAATGCTAGAGAAGCAACTTCAGCAATCAAAGAAGCAAAGCATAAGAAGCCTAGAACGATTTCTCTTGCCATTTCTGAGGTTAGTCATATTTCCCTTCACCAACTTCAACCCTCAATAAACCTTTTTCTCAAGACTTACAATGGTTTGGACCACTGCAGATTTATGGTGGGGTGTTCATGAATAACATTCTTGGCTTCTTTGCACTCTCAGTTTTGATCTATGTGCGAGAAATCACTTGGGAATTCTCAGCTGAATTGTTGGTCGTTGCAATTGTTTGTGCTATAACAGGCCTTACTGCAAGTTTTCACTCCATTTTTCCTCTATGGTCATCCTTCTGTGCAATTCTCTTGTACCCATTGTCCTTGGTTCTGGTTTTTGTACTCGATCATGTTCTCAATTATAATTAGTAACCTCTAGAGTGTCGTGACCAATTGAAAGAAGAGTATAATTTTAGCTCATTTTTTAGCATAAAGTTTTTCGATGATATGATAACATATAATTAAGTGACAATGTGAAAATTTTTCATTAATCATAATTCAAGTTGCTGGCTGGTTGATGGTTCAGCCAGAATGCAATATTATAATTACATTGCATGTGAATGTAAGGATTTAAGAAGGATTTAAGATTGATTTCCTCTACTGGTTAGTAGTTACAGCAAAATAGATTATTAACAATGTGATGAAGCGGACCATGAGAAAGTTCAATAGATATTTACGAAGTTATTAACTGGTTGTTAAATTCATTTAATCAATTAATTATGCATAGCTAATTACAAACTAATTTGATTTAATTACTTAAAATATGATGCTATAAAACATTTAACTGACTTGTTAATCACTATTCCGTATCCAGAGTACTATAGTCGGATTATGAAGTTAGAATCCTCTTTTTAAGTCTGGCAACTGGCATCTCTTCCTCCAACTAAAGATATTCTTTTCGTAATTAAGAAGATTTTGTCTCTTAGATCTTACACCATTTCTCTTAGTCGAGAAGATTAGATTATAGGGACATAATCAAAAGTTAATTGAGTGTACCTTTTTACTTTTGATTTGTTACATTAAATCAGTTCAATTTTAGGATTCTAACAATACGAAGGTTTTATGTTCGACTTTTAGCATTAGTCTTGTATTATTAAGAAAATGATAACGAGTATCTTATAGTACGGATTAAAAATATAAAATATAAAATGTTTAATACATTAAAAATATAAATATAAATAAAATATTTATTTTTAAATAATTAAAATTATTTAATAATTATAATAAATTATAAGGATACTTAATATTAATACTCATTCTTATGCCATTAAAAAGTATTGTATCAAAAGTAGCCCAAATGAAAATACAGCGTATTGGGTCAAGTATTCATCCCTTAAAGCCCTTAGCCAACTAAAGTAATCTGTTAAAATATTTTATAACTTGCATTCTTCAATTATAAATATTGTTAGACTTCTTAATCAACAATCTATTGACTAAAATCGAATCTTATAACTTAAACAATGAAGTACCTTTTGTAGTTATTTACTCTTAAAGGAAAATAGTGCCGCTAACTATGAAAGAGTTTTCGCTACGGATTATATAAAATTTTGTAATTCGAAAAAAAAAGAACATAAACATTTTATTTTAAATTAAGATTGATATAAATAAAAATTATTAAATTATTTTAATATTTAATTTATTTTATATTTTTTAAAAATAATTATTAAAAATAAAATATATTATCTTCTGTTTAAAGAAATAGTAATTCTTAACCATAATTTTAAAAAATCAAAAATAAATAATTTTTTTATTAATTTAAATTATTAAAACTTTACAAAAAAAAAATACATTATTAAAATATATACTCAACTAAACCTAAATTATAAATTTTATCACCATAAAGATTATCAAGATAGGAACACCCAATGGCCACGGTGGCTACGCGTTTGGGAACGCGGATTTGCCGACAGTGCTTGACATTCAATCTCGTTTCAATCAACGTCAAAGAGACAGATTCTTCATTCTTTAGTCGTAGATTTTCATTAAAAATGTCTTTTATTATTAGAAATTATTTGGATCTTTTAATTTATGCGGAAACTAAGTTGTATAGTTCTATTTTTATTTTGTTTAAAAAATTATAAGAGAAAAAAAAGTGAGTAAGGGTGAATGGGGCTGGAGAAAGCGAAGGAAAAGAAGGGTGGAGAGGACAAAGATGAAGAGTTAGGAGAAAAAACTATTTTTGCATAAGCAAAATAAAATTGTTTAAATAAAAATAAACTAAAGCTGAATTATAATGTGTCTAAAATATTTTATTCAATCTCTAAATCATGTCACTATTAACATATTATAATTAGCTAATACTTTATTTTGTTTTTTAAAATAATATATATATATAATTATTTACAATATTATTTTCAAAAATATTTTTAACTTAACTTAACAACTACAAATAATATATATTAAAAAGATAAAATATAATAAAATAATAATAATTTTAAACACTAAAATAATAAATTAAGTATAATGAATTTCACATAAATAAAGATATATAAAAAATTTAAAAATTTATATAAAATAATAATTTTTTTATAAATATAAATATAAAGATTCACAAAAAAACATAAAAATTTATATAAAATAATAAAAGAAAGTTAAGTAATAAATTTAACTTTAAAAATTAAAATATAATTAATAAAAACATATTAAAAAGTAATATCATTACAATTAAAAAGAACGTGATTCACCACATTATTAACTTCACCAACAAATTGATGTGGAGTACATCAAAACAACTTGTAATGTTTATGTTCTCGACTTTTTAAATATTAAGTGCTTGATCTTTTTAATTAAAGGATTAATTAACAAAATTAATATCGATGTATTTAACAATTATGTTAAATTTCTTCACATTTTTTCTAATGAATATGTCAATTTCAAATATTTTGAATCACTCGTAATTTTATCAATTTTTGTGCATCACAATAACTTTTTAGTTGCCTAGCAATAAGATCTATTATACAAAATCTTATCACCATGTTTCTCAGACAAGTAACATGAGTGTAACAACATAACAATGAAAAATTTTTACTTTTCAATCAACTCCATATCTAATGATATTATTGAATTCAATAAGTGGTATAAGTTATAAGGATTCCTTTTCATGTATATATATAAAAGTTCCATATCTAATGATATTATTTATTAGCAGGATTTATTATATTATTAGTGTATGGTATTTTTTTTTTTTAAGTAAAATGAAAACGAGATCTGTGATATATTGGACTTGTTTAATGTTTGCTTATAAAGGTTAATGTAACTGTTTGTTTTTTTTCTAAATTCACTTCTTTTAATTTGTGTAATATTATATTTTATAAACATTTTATATGTAATATTTTTTATTAAAAATTAAAAATTTAATGTAATTTAATATATTAATATTATTAAATACTATGTTTCTAGTAAAAAAATTATTTTTTATTATATACAATGTTATATAGTTTAAAAAAAGTACATTTTAAAGTTAGCAAAATTGAATGTGATTGGAAATTTTTTTACTCTATCATAAAAAAGATAAAATCGTACTAAAATAGCAAATTAGCTTTTATGTAATGTTTTACTAAAATAATGTAAAATGAGAATGAAATCGGTGATATGTTAAAATTATTTAATGCTTTATTATTAAAGTTGATATATTCCTTCAAAGGTTGATATCATCGTTGACACTAATTTTGGACGTAAAATTATATTAAAAACACAAAAAATACTGTATCTAGATTTTATCTTAACTAAAACAAGTCTATAGTTCTAATTTTCATTAGAACATTCACATTAAATGCTTGATAAATTATCTCTTATAAAATATCCTTGATAAATCAAACAGTCTTATATTAATATTTTATTTAACGAATTTAATTGTACTAATATTTAATTACATTATTTAATACAAATGTGGAAATTTTTTATATATAAAAAATTTAAAATTCTATCCATATGAAGTATAATAATTAGAAAGACATTTTAAAACACGCATGAAAACTGATTTTTAAACCGAATACTTGACAAAATTTTTGACTATTTTTCAAGTAGAGAACTTAATATATATAAAAGAATAAATTTTTTTATTAAAATTATAATATTTAATATTGATAGTATATTAAATTTGTAATATTATATAAATTTTAATAAACTTAATACATTATAACTTTTTAATTATATACCTTTAAACGTATATTTTAAAAAATAAATTGTCGATATCTTTTGTAATAAGCATTAAATATTTTATGCATCGGTATTTTCTAAGCAATACAATAAAATAAAATAAAGATATAATATTCAAAAGTTATGTTCAATAATTGAATTAATATTTTCAAAAGTTGACTTTTTTTTTTTTTTTTTTTTTTTTGTGAAGAGGAAAAGTTAGCTATAGGAAAGGGCGTGGATTAGAATTTGAACATGAATGTTGAAATTTGACGTTAACAAGTAGAAATTAAATGAAAAATATAAAATCACTTTAGCTTGGATCATTAAATTAAATTACGATAAGCAGAAGATGATGGGACAAAATATCTTGCTCTGGAAGAAAGTACAATACGGAACCACCACTTGTCACACTTAAACTCTCCCACCTTACCTGCTTCCTCCAACTACCTCATCTTCCTCTCCCTCTCTCTCTCTCTTTCTCTCTCTCTCTCACCTTCAATCCCAATCAATTTCCACAGTGAAATAAAGAAAAATAAATATTCATATAAATTTTTATATTATTTTAACATAAGTTTCTGTAAGGATTTTTTTGGTCCTTTTTTTTTATTTAATTTACCCTCCAATCTGGAGTCATATTTTTCCCCTCAAATAGTAAATACTAAAAATTTGGTGAATCTTTATCTTGTTTCATTCTAATTCTCTCTCAAATTCTCCGTTTACATCACATCGACTTCAAAACCCTCTATAGTTGTAAAGGAAAGTTACCGAAACTTGCTCAGACCAAAATGGAATAATCCATGAAACTCATTAAAATAATTAATTCCAAATAATCCTTTCATTTCATTAAAATATTGATTTTAATAATAAAAAATTTCAACATTTTTAATAAGTTAATATTTATAAAAAAAAGTTGGTTTAATAATGAAGCCGTCAACTTCAGTCACCACTCACTCAGAGACATATATGTGTGTGTCTTACTCATAGGCCACGCTGCGAACCATAACAATGTTTCCCTCTCTCACTTCTCACCGTATCCTCTGCCTCTTCATTGGGATCGTGATCCTCTGCGGTCACGCCCACGCTCGCACCATCACGCGCGATCTCGTTTCTGATGGTGGCGAGGGGAACAAATGGGAGAACCTGTTTCTGCGGCTTCCAACGGAGTCATCTTGCGAGCAGACCTACGGGTTCTTACCGTGCACCACCACTGTGATCGGAAACTTGTTCCTCATCGTCGTCTATGGCTTCCTCATGTACAAGGCCGCTACATTCTTGTCCAATGGCAGTGAACTTTTGCTCGAGATCTTGGGTCCTGGCATCGTTGGTGGCTTGTTCCTTCCCATCCTCGGTGCACTGCCCGACGCTATGCTCATTCTCGGTAACCGCCGTTTTACCCGCTGTTATGTTTCTCAATTTTTTATAAAAATTCTGAGTACTTTTGATCTTGTGATACTGGAATATGATCTTAACGAGTTGATATTAGTGGCTTGGGATTTGAATTTCGACTTTGTACTTTAAGTGAGGTGGCGTAAATTGTGGTTTACGTGCTGTTTCTTTTTTTTTTTTTTTTTTTTTTTTTTTTTGAATATTCGAAGTTACAGGTTTTTTTGATAACGAGTTGTTATGAGTCGCTGCGGATTGGAATTTTGAATTTCAGCTTTATAGGTGAAGCGGGTGATGTAATTGTGGAGTGTATTGTTGTTTATTGAAGTGATTCGCGAGGTGTCACGATCTCGAATCTGCCTGTTTGATGAAGAATCGGTGTTTTGAACCTTTTTAACTGTGTTTTCATTCTATTGGATTCTTTGCAGCTCTTGTTTCCGTTCCTATGTTCTTTTCCTTTGCTTTGTGGTGTTTGATGTTGAGTTTTCTCCCTCTTTGCTTTTTTGCTTTACTTTTTCTTCTGCTTTTGGGGATCCACTTTCAGTGTGAACCCCACAGGATGGAGTGCCCTCGTGTACGGCTTCTGACTTTGCTGTTGCTGATGCATTCCTTTCCCCATTCGCAACAGAATTTAATTTTCTTTTTGTCCTGTGGTGACTAGTGGAATAGAGAAAGGTGGTTTTTGAGCCTGGGATGGCCCATGAAAGTGAAGATGCATGTTCAAGTATTGAAAAATCCATCTTGGGTATACAACCATATATAAATGGTTAATATTGTTTTGTTTACATCAAATTTTGATCATTCGTTTTTATTGTATAGTTAATATTCACTCCTCTCACATTCTCACCTCGAAGTATAAGATATAGCAGCGCTCGCTGATATGGTCATGTTAGAAATTATAGATTTACTGTTCAATTCTTAACTGCCAAATTGATGAATTTAATTGATATCGGTTTATCTGACTAGCAGCAACTGCTTTGAGACATCCCTTACCTTACATCTCTTATGCTTCTTCAATTTCACTGATATCTCTAATCTTGTGACAGCATTATATTTACGTTGGATTCTTTTTCTCTTGGAATTTCTTTGTATCTCATCTTCTAGGATTTATGCTCTGCTGTTATTTACCCTTTCCCACCCCCGTAATGTGCATTTTTTTTTTCCAGTATCTGGACTTTCAGGTAGTAAAGAAACTGCTCAAAGTCAAGTATCTGTTGGAATGGGACTGCTAGCTGGTTCAACAGTGCTGCTTCTGACTATAATATGGGGGACCTGTGTAATAGTTGGCAAGTGTGACATTGAGGATTCAATTGCAATAGATTCACGAGACACTAGAGGATTTAGTTTAACTGGTATGTCATTTTATAGTGTTCATTATTTAATTTTAAAAATTGAGAGTTCGCTAAGCTAAACTCTCCCTGCCTTAAGCGTTAAGATTGTCTTTCTTGTCATTCAATCTATCAACTTTCTTCTGGAGTTTCTCTATAAATTGTTCATTATATTTTGTGTCACTTTGTTTTATGCTGAATCTTAATTTATTGATTTGGATAAGGCTTGGTTGTTGCTTAATTTGTTAATTTATTGGATTTTTTGTTTTTTTTTTTGAGAAGTGTCATGAACCAACCACTCTAAAAGCTTAAGCTTGAAGACCTGTAACATCTTTAGAACACCCTCTCATACAAGATACCTTCTAGCTTAAACAGTGGGTGGATAATGCTTAATTTATTTTAGAAGAATGACCAAATGAGGGTAGCAAGCAAGGATCAAATTCTAGATCCTTTGATCATAGAGGCTCTAATACCATGTCATTATTAAGCCAAAGGAATGATTTTATACTTTTAGAACATCTCTGACAAGTAATAATTGGAAGATAGTTAACCTAGTAATAATTGGAACTCTGCAAATGTCTTTCGTCTACTATAATTTTGGACCAAGGTTTATGTAGTGCATTCAAACAACTATGTGCATTATTGTTGTCTTGGTTATAGATTAGATGCCTTTGGGACTTTGAGAAGGTGCTGGTTGAAGTTATATCGTGCTCTACCATTTTCTTATTTATTTATTAATGTATTTCTAAACAATGATATCTGCGCATATGCAGTTGTGGTGTACTGTTTAAATGTCTGGAATGTTTGATTCATTTGGAGCCTCAGTCTACCAAATTTCCATGTGCAGGTTCTGGTGTTAGTACTGATATTTGGACAAGTTATGCTGCAAGGATTATGGCTATATCTGTCCTTCCATTTGTGATTGTTCAATTTCCACAAATTCTCAATTCAAATTCGGGAAGGCATTTGGCTGTTTTGATTGCTCTCATTGTCTCTCTCTGTTTATTGGTTGCTTATTGCCTTTACCAGGTAATTTTTTTGGGGTGCATTTGTGTTTCACGTGCATATTATCATAAGTGTTTCTTTTTGTCATCTGCCAAAACCATTTTTTTTTTAATTCTGATGGTACACAGTTTTTTTTATTGTATGTGATGCTTTAGCAGTTTAATTGTATACTGGATGAAGATGTGACCCATTATTTAAAACATCTGGCCATAATTTGTCTTTTAGATATTAAGAAAAAGAAAAATTGGTGCAGATTTTCCAGCCGTGGATACAAAGGAGAAAACTTGAATATATTAAACACAAACATGTTATTTTAGGACTTTTGAGACATTTGAAGAAGCGTGCGTTGGGAAGGTTGCTGAGAGAAGATGGTGAACCTGATGAAGACGTCATTAGAAAGTATAACTATCTCTCCTCTTTAGCTTTGACATTGGACATGTTACTTTGAAAGAAGTTTGTTGTTCTTTTTTGTATTCTCATCCTTTGGGTTGTCGCTTACTTCTTTAATGGAATATATAGGTTGTTTTCAACAATTGATGAAAATAATGATGGCAATCTTACTCGTAATGAATTGAGAGCACTGGTTATTGGAATTCAATTTGAGGAGATTGACCTGGATCATGATGATGCTGTAAAAAGAATCATGGAGGATTTTGATACTTCTCGTAACCAACTTGTTGATCAAAGAGAATTTGTTAATGGTGTCTGTAGATGGCTTCACAAGGCCAGAAGTTCTCGAGTTGCATCGGGTGATGCTGGTCCACACACAATGAAGTTTTTAAGCGATTTTCACACAGTAAGCTGTGCATTCCTCAACTTCACTGAATTGTTCTTTTTAGTGATTTTGACTGAATGGGATTTCGTGTGCAGGAAACTAAGAGGGAACATGATCTGCTGGATGTGGGGGATCAGAGTAATGAAGATGCCGAGGGAATTGAGAATGCTAAGTGGACTTCCATCAAAGCAGTGCTGCTGCTGCTGTTGGGTACTATTATTGCTGCTGCATTTGCTGATCCTCTGGTTGATGCAGTTGATAACTTTTCTGATGCTACAAGTATTCCTGCTTTCTTCATTTCCTTCATTGCTCTGCCTTTAGCAACCAATTCAAGTGAAGCAGTGTCAGCAATAATCTTTGCTAGTCGTGATAAGAGGCAAACTGCCTCGTTAACTTTTTCTGAGGTTTGTTTCTTGTTTTGTACCCTGTCCCTTTTATTCAGGATGATATTTACAGTTAATGTATTCAGTTAACAATGTAATCAATTAATTTTAATGTGTTTATTTAAATAAAACCACTAGTAACGAGTTAACCGAATTAGGTCTCTTTGGTGTTTAAATAAGGTTAAATTAATATTTAAGTCCCTAAATAGGCCCCAATACTTTAAAAGTTAAAGTTTGTAATTAGGTTCCTGAATTTACACTTGGCGGTTCCATCTAATACAGGGACTTTATTGAAATTTTTTAAATAGGTCAGGACTTATTGAATAACTAAACTAGCAACCTAATCCCTAAACTATTTGAAAATTTTCATTTAGGTTCTTATATCGATTATCGAATGAAACCCTAGTCAGGGACCCAATTACAAATGATTCACAAGTTCAGGGGGCAAGTTACAAACTTTAAAGTTTTAGGAACTTATTTTAAAAAATCTTTGAATAATTTTGAGACTTACAGATTAATTTCACCTTTGAATAAATATGATGTTGGATGGGGTCCCTTTCATGGTCTACCAAACAATAGTAAATATTTTTAGGGGGCAAGGTGGAGACAACGCTAAGAGGATAAACTGATGCTAATATGTAATGTCATGGGAAGTTTATTTGAAATTACACCTTCCTGTTAGTTTGAATTCCTTTTAGTGGTGTTTATTAACATTTGGTGCTGGTTTTCTAGTCCTTTCACATACTTTTCTTTCAACACATGGGTATGACTGAGACTGGCTGATAGTCACTTGCTAATTACTGTAGTTTTATTTTGTTTTTTGCCTTAAGGCATTTAAAAATGATTTCTATTGTTTTTGCAGATATATGGTGCAGTGACAATGAATAATGTGCTTTGCCTATCAGTCTTTTTGGCCCTCGTTTATGTGAGGGGATTGACATGGAACTTCTCTTCAGAAGTGTTAGTTATTCTTGTGGTTTGCATTGTCGTTGGTGTCTTTGCCAGTTTCCGCACTGTCTTCCCTCTATGGACATCTATACTGGCTATACTACTCTATCCCTTCTCCCTGGTATTGGTGTATGTTCTTGATTTTGTATTTGGTTGGTCGTAGACCAAATTATGTTTTATGTTAGTTCCTTGTATGGCTGTATGGTTTATCATAGCTCATTGCGTGAGACCTCCATTTATGATGGAATTGACATCGCTTGAGAACGGTTGAGTGGCTACAGTTTTGATTAGTCAGCTCATTACGAGTGCAATTATACATTTTATAGCACTGTTGCAAATTATGTTGTGGAATTCGCCTGTGATTGCGGTAACGTGATTCCATTCAAAAAGTTCCATTTTATAGCGCTGCTTCTGATCATTCAGAACGTGATTAATCAGTTCCATTAAAATGATTTTATGGCACCACACTTTTAAATTCTAATCAAAATCACACTAAAATTTTAGTTCAAAATACGAATTGTGGGCTTTTAGCTCCCTACCGGATCGCATATCGTGAGTTTCATACTTTTGTTTGTGGGCCGGGGAGGGGATAGAGAAAAGGGTATATAACTTATTTTCTTTGTTTTATATTTTTTGTGTGATCGTAAAATATTTTTTTGGCGCACTAACTTATTTTTTGTCTTTATGACACAATGTGACTAGGGCTGCATGGATTAGATTAGATTGAAACAAAATTAATTAAAATTTATTTTAAATCTAATTATATGTATTATGTTTTAAATTAATCTATTTTATTTTTTAAAAATTGATTTAAAACTTATTTTAAAATTTGAATTTTATTTAAAATTAGTTTTAAATTTGTTTTTGGTTAAAATCAGTTTTAAATCTAATGTTAAATTAGTTTTAAATTTAATTTATAAGGCAAAACTGATTTTCAATATATTTATAAATTTGATTTTTAAAGTAAAACTAATTTATTGTATTGCACTATTGTATTAAATTAGTGTGTTTTAAAAAGATTTTAATAATATTTATTAATTGTATTAAATTAGTGTGTTTTAAATTAGTTTTAAATTTAATTTATAAGGCAAAACTGATTTTCAATATATTTATAAATTTAATTTTTAAAGTAAAACTAATTTATTGTATTGCACTATTGTATTAAATTAGTGTGTTTTAAAAAGATTTTAATAATATTTATTAATTGTATTATACTTTATAGAAGTTTTTTGTAAAATATTTATTATTATTTTAAAATTATTTTAAAAAAATAAAGTTGATGATGATGATGAAAGTTTAAATTAAAATCTATAAAAATAAATATTGATATTAAAGTTATAACATTTTAAAAATAATATTTTGAATATTTAATCTTAATTATAAGAATTAAGGTCAATAAAAAATATTAATAATAAAAGATAATTATAGAGAATTTTTGTCAACTGATATAACAAAGATTTAATAAACTAGAAATATAAAATAGTGTCTTTATACACAATATGAATTTGGATGTATAAATTTAAACTTTTAAAAAAATGAATTTAAAATACTAATCCGGTTAAAAAAATATAGTAAAAAAAAAGCCAATTTAATATACATATAATTTTTTAAAAATAATTTAAAATTAGTTATCAATTTTTTAAAACTAATTTTAAATTAATTATGAAAATTGAACTTACATAACTGAATTTTTGTTACACCTGTGTTACACAAGAAAACACAAATCAAGAAAACACACTATCAGTGTTCTTATGCTTTTATCTAATCTTTGATTTTTGGTCAACGATACATTTATCTTATATATTTATTTGGTCAGAATGCAATTATATTGTCTAAAGAGCCATACCATATAGGATGAGTATGGCTTGTTATTTTTTTAGGGTATACTGTATATCTTGTTCCTGTAGCCAAGAATGTAATAGCTATGGGCCTTTCTTGTGCTTTCAGTTTGTTTGTGGACCATCTCTTCCAAGTTTTCTTTTACCGGTTTTAAAGTTTTGCTTCACTCAATGGAAATAGCTTTTTTTCTACATAAACTCAGATTTAAGAATTTAAATAATGTTTAAACATAATCTAATTATGGCTTTACCAAGCATATTAAGTTGTAGATGAAATCCAGTTTTCAGTAATCACTGCCTAAAAACGATTTGCCGATTCAGGGTATGCAACCTATATGATGTGAAAATATACTATAAATAAGGCAATTGAGTATTCTTTGAAAAAAACAAGAAAGATAGTTTAGTAATTTTATGTGACATTTTCATAGAATGAAAATGGTAATAAGGATGACGGACCTTACAAAAAAGGTAGGGTCCGTACTAAAATACGTATAAGAACCAATAATGCACTTTCAAGGGCTTTTTTTATTATAACTTCCTTTTTTCTATACATTAAGACGACCAGTTTTAATACTTTCAAGAACTTGATATACAGTTCACTCATTAAAAAATTATAACATGTTTTACTTTACATTAAGATTAGTTGTAGCTTCTATATTAATTTATATTTACATGTTTTCTAACCTATTTCTAAACATACACTTGTAAGATTAGTTATAGTTTCTAATGATACATTGGTGCAAAATCAATTAAGTCATAATTGACAGACGTGCTACTGAATGTTGAGGGCCTTGGCAGTGTTATTTTGTCATTTTGGACCCATAATGGAGGCCAGATTTTGGGACCCCACTGAAACAAATAGACGACAAAGCACAATCAGATACCTCCACAACCCACATGCTACAGTTTGTTACCACTCCAGTTCCTGACTCATCCAACCAGCCACTTCAATAACCAAGAATGGAAACATAAACAATAAAAATTAAATAAAAAAAAAACGAAACAAGCCCTTAACCCCAATGCTCAAAGGCACAACACCATAGTTTGGCCTCATCAAGACAAAACAATTCAAACAAATAAATCAACATCTCTCACATGGCAAGATTTCTTGTCCTTTTCATATTCAATCCTACATGTGCACATTTATAAATATCTACCACTAGTAAAAATAAAAGTAAATAAAAGGCGACTATGCTAGTTTCATAGTGAGGAAACAACTAGCCTATAAATGCTATATTGATAGCTTCAAATTAAGATCAATACTTTCTCCCACTTCATGATAATTCTGAATACTGGCAGGTGTTTGTTCAATTTGTTCCTCCTTTGCTTCTGGAAGGAAGAAGCTGTAAAAGGGTTGATTTTGTTGATTGATTTGCCTGTACACTGGTGGGGTAGGGATTTGATCTTCTACATTTCCCTTTAACAAATGAAATTGAAGTTAAGAGTGAACAATGAAAATAGCGATTTTGAAACAAATGGATAATGAGTTTGCCCACACGGCCACACCTGACATGATTGAAATTCAAATTGAGGATATTCCTGGTTGTGCAATGCTTGGGAAGTTGAAGGAGACTTCAACTTTGAAGGCGAACATGATGCGGGAGATAATGGAGGAGCCAATGTGAGAAAATCTCCACTAAAATTCTCATTCTCTATTTTTCTTTTCTTTGAGTTTGGCTCAGACTTGGATGCTGAAAAGAATGGGACTTCTCTGCAGATAAGACAGAAATACAAGCATGATGTGAGAAGACAAGAATTTCAACTATAACATAAAGGCCAAAAGATTAAACTGAAAAAACCTGGAAGTTGAATTGCTAGCATCGAAGTTGAATCCACTTCCATTACCGCATGAAGTTTTTGAATTTTTTCTTGTTTCAGAAAAGAAGGAAAAATTATAATTGACAGCGGGGGCAGGAGGAAAATCCAGGGAGAAAGGGTAGTGCCTTTTCGTGCCAACCGTCTGCACCAAGTTTCAAACACCTATATTTAATTTCATAAATAAAATTCTGAGGAAGATCTCTTGTATCAAAATGTGTCAGTTCAAAATCTTAGTTTATGTTTAGATGTACCACAAATCACTGGCGAATCATGTTTTTTTCATCATAATGTGATTTTGTAAAAAAGATCAATGTTTGAGTGTTCTCAATTAAAATTAATTTTGCCTTCAAACTCATGTATGAATTAACATACTAAATTTTAGTACAGCTTGACTTTTAAGAAAAAAAAAGTCAAGACTAAAATGTTACTTTAAACTCACTTTTAAACAAAATCAATTTTACATAATTAAGTTCCTTCATGATCAAGTTTACAGACGCTCATCCAAACAAGCACTCAGTGAATTCATTTAGAACACGCATGAAGATGTGAACATCCAACTAAACAAGCAAAGAATTTCAGACATTAAAAGAGGAAATTAATCCAAGTAGTAGTATTATAAAACATTATCTGTAAATCAAACAACTCAACTATGATATATAGTAAACAAACTGAAAGATGCAGATGAATAATTTTAAGAGCACAAATTGCGTATACCTTATCCACTGGTATTACAGGCACGCCGCTGCCGCTATGATTTTGGTTTGAAGGGGGCTCTATTAGAAAACGAGGCACAGTTGTTGATGAAGTTCCTACTTTCACCTACATGTTCCATAAATCCAACCTTTCTTATTCCATGGTAATATAATGTGATGAATAGATGGCAAATGAAAACTCCATCATATAAATTGAAAAGAACAAGATCACACACAAAAATAATGTCTTACCACTGATGAAGAAGATTGATGCTGTTGTGGTGTTCTCTGAACCCAATTGGGCAAAGACCAATTTGGGTTGGATTCAAAAGGCAAACTTGGTGGAATTGGCAATCCTGGGTCCACCCCAAAATTGCCTTTATCAAAGTCAAACCCAAAGGAACTCCACCACTTGGGAACATTCCCATGTCCAGGAACTGAAGTAGAAGGCCAACCAGCCTCAAAGCCACCACTGTTTCCCAATGGAACAGTGCTTGGAGCTTCAGCATCTTGTTGTTGTTGTTGTTGTTGTAGTGACAGAGGTGAAGGGGTTGTGGAAGAGGGTTCATTGGAGTGATGAAAATTCGTAATTGCGAGAGGCAAATAGGGTGTTTTGGTTGGTGATAAGGAATTTGTAGAGGCTGAAATTGCAACCGCATCTCTCTTTTGTTGTTCTTCAAGTCTTATCTTTTCAAGCTGAGCCACACCAAGTCCTCTCTGAGGTACCCTTTTCTGCTTTGGCTTCTTGGAAGATCTACCAACAACTCCAATGCCACCACCATTACAATTTCGTTGATCTTCTTGAACCATTGTTGTATCATCACCCGTCTAGTGATGTGATAAATAATAATAATAAAAAAAAACAGTGCTTTCCAACTATGTTTCAAATTTGAATGCTTGCACTAGGAGTGTTGTTTTTGAAGACCAAGGTTTTAAGCAAAAACCAGGATCCTCACCTTAAGAAAAAGAGTAAAACGTGTGACATCTCAACCCACAAACCCCAATTATAGTTCTAAAAGTAAAATCTAAAAAGAACTTGAAGATCACTCGAAAATCTCGCTGGCATGGACTAAGTGGAACAAACCCAAAAAACCAGCCAAATATTCAGCAAAGACTGAAGATGATGAGAGAGAAAATTATCTGAAAGATCACGGATTTTTCTCAATTCAAGTTACTTGTCTGAGTTTCAAAATAAATACACAAGATAACTGAATCCAAAAACAAAAGCCATCTTTTTTTCAAAATTAAAACCATGAAAATCTAAAGCAATTATGAACGATAATATATATTCACTAATTTATCGCCTATATTCTCGCTCTACCCTCCTTATTTTGTTCCTAGACCGACTCCGAAGTTATAAACCACGATGAATGTAGAGTCTCTCTCTGAACCCAAGTTGTACTTGGAGTAGTAGATGTTGTTTCTCTCTCTAAATAATTTTTTTGTGAGTGCTAATAAAAGTAGCTAAGAGACAGTTTTGGTAGAAAGCGTCATCTTAGGTTGTTTGTTCCATTTGATTTCAGAGATTGGACCATGGCCTTTATCGGGGCCCACTTATGGTGATTTATTTTTCTTTGCTTAATCACTTATCAACCTCCACAGCACAGTCTTGGATCCTTTCCAGCATCTTAGTCAAAATCTAGATCATTAAATTTATATCTAATGGTTATAAAAAAAAAAAAAATACTTTGTAGTTAGTCAATCTCATGTTTCACAATAGTCAATTTTTTATTTCTTTTTTTTCTGGAGAGGTAGAATAGCTGCAGAGATCCAAATTTCCACAACACATGCATGGCTTTTTGTGGAATTAAAATGAACAGATGCACGAGACGTATTCACTGTCTATTTTGTTTTAATTTTTTTCTCAGATTATGTTCACTTAAATCACTTCTAAAATGAATGAAATTATCTATACGATCAACCCAGAAAGGCACCTATTGTTATTGGTCATGCATTGATGATATATATGACTCTTAATGCTATTTCATGACTTGTTTGTTTTATAATTGATTTTTTTTTAACATTTTTTTTTAATAAAAAGTTTATACTGAACATATGTGATTTCAATTAATTTATGTACATATTTTAATTATATTTAACTATTAAGGATTAATCTTATCAAAAAAATTTATTTAACTTTAAATTAAATGGGTATTCAGTCAATTTATTTTTTCTGCTGGTAATTGATTTATAAAATGTAAGAAGCTACCACTCAATCCCCAGTTTACTTTTTCGTTTGTTTTTTTATTTTATTTTATCATTTCATTTTCTTGAATTTTGAACAAAATAATGGTGACTAAGATTTATATAAGTGCAAAATTTTCTCGAAGAGTACCAATTAAACTTATAACCATGGTTTTTTATTCCTTAAATTTTACATCTTACATTTTTTTATATATTTTTATTTTCTATTATATTGCCTATTACTTTATTTATTTTATTCTTTAATCTCTTTCTCCTACTTTGGATATATACTCCTGAAAAATCGTCAACTGATTATCCTTAACCATAATACAAAGAATGGACTAATAGCCATATATGGAATTATAATAAAGACAAAAATGTTGCTTTGGATGGAACTTTAAAATGGAGGAGTTTAGAGGAAAAAACAGAGAGAGAAGAGTGAAAGATTTTCAGTAAATCTTCTCAATGTTTTATCGTTTTTTAAAAATGAAGAGAAATGATAAAATACCTTGTAGTCCTTGAAAGTATTCTTTTTTATTTTATTTTATAATAAACAAATAAATTTCCCAAATAAAAGAATTTGAAATTCAGTGTGTGTGTATATATATATATATATATATATATATATATATATATATATATATATATATATATTGAGTTGATCCCAAAGCTAAGTGATTTTGTTTGCATTAATAAATTTTTAATTAATATTAATTTAAACTTTAATTTTCATAATTTATTTTATTTTTTATTTAATATTATTAATAAGTATAATATTTACTCTTTTTAAATTTATAATTTTAAAAGTATTAAAATATTTTAATTTAATAATATTCGGGCATAAAAAATCATTAACTAAAGTTAATTTCACTGCTATCTAGCACTTTTATGGGCATATTCTATCTTATTTGAAACAGAAGAGGTATACTGTATAGTTTGTTTCATGATATTTCTTCTTAAAACAGATTAAAATATTGCAGTGAATTTGCATTTTTAGAAGCAAATTTTCCGGGGGGGGAAAGGCATTTTAGTGGAGTCATATATATGCCACTTGCATTTCATTGAGGGATGAGATCAACGAGGTTCTTAATTTGGTGAAACACACGTAAGGCATGTGCATGTTGAGTCTTATAAATTAATGCTTTTGGGCTAATCTCGGAGAAAAATGACTATAGGCATGGATACCACTCGATTAATACCAAGTTTGGCTTCATATTTTCTTTTGGGCTTGAGTCATTAATTATTGAATATTGAATAATATGGCATGGGAAAAAAGTTCCTAGTTTGATTATTGACAGCAAAATTTTCTTATCAGATGTTGATTAATTTATATAAATAAAAAGGACTGTTTATATGTCGCTTCTGAAGCTATTGACATCAATGAATTAAATTCCAATCAAAAGATGAGAAAAAACAAAGAAAGAAATGAAAATTTGTTACTTGGGTCGTTCAAATGTGTGTCTGACTACGTACTTTAGATAAGGGTAACCAACCAATTGTCTAAGTATCACAATCTTAGAAAGCTTTAGATCTCATGCATGATAAAGAATACGAAAGTTATGCAAAAAACAATTAAGTAGAGAGGTGAGGGGTCAACATAATTGTTTATATACATCATACCTCATATGGTAGCTTCAAAATCTGCTTATATCTCCATGTCATGCTGATGAGAAAAGCTATCTCAAACTTTCTCTTAGGGACCCACTTTTGTTGAGATTAAGGCACAACAAACTTCACATCAATTTCAAGAGAAAGGCCAAAAATAATTAAAAGGAAAAAGATAAAATAAAGTTAATATCTCAAAGATATGAATTGAAAGTGTCCGTTACTTAAAAATCAATGTGCAAGATTGCCAAAGAGATTCTGTCATCTACAAAGAGACACCCACCACCGTCTTTGAGGCCTGAATATAAGGGATGAGGGATGGGGAGGTTACCACCATGTATCAGCATGACACCACCTTCTTCTATGTTACATAAGAAAATTAAGATTTTGTTAGATACATAGTATATATGGGTTTCATCAAGCCATCTATGATAAGATTCTTTGTTACCTTAGTTTTCACATTCAAGGGCCATGTTTGGTTGAAGTTTGCACCTACCATATATTGCACCTTATTAGAACCAGATATTTGATGCAATATATAGGCATGAATAAAAACACTCTTACTCTTGCACCCTAAATTATAATATGATATGATAATAAAACAAAAATGCTGTGCACGTAAGCATAGATTGCAAACCAAGTGTTGGCTCTGACATGATACAAGTGATATTAAAAGGTAGATACATTGAAAGGGATAGAAAGATGCACATGCAAGTTGTTATTAGTAAGCTCATATACGAAGAAGAGTCTAACATATGAACTCAAACAAAAGAAGTTTAATGGTCCCAACGATTGATTTTTCATGTATGATAATTTTATAATGTGATAGGCATTTTGTAATTCTGTTGCCAATTTTCTTTACGATTAATAATTTATCCGGATTTCGGATAGAGAATCAAAGGGTTGCTTCTTTTTATTTTTATTTTTAAAAATTATATTTTAAAACAATTTTAAAAGGAGAAGAAAATAAAAATAAAACTTATGTTAATAATAATATTTTTTACTTTAAAGAAAATAACTGTTTTTAACAACAAAAAACAAATAAGTTTTAAGTCTTTTCCTTGTCTATACTGAATATTTTATTCATAATTTTTTTTTTCAATAATGATATGTTTAAATATAAATTAAAAGTGATTGAGAAAATTCTTAATTGTTAACAAACTTTAAAATTTTTTTTTTATAGAAAACATCACACTTTACCGTACACATATATTAATAAATTAAAATAATTTTTAAATAAAATTTTAAATATTATATAATATTTTAATTTAATAAAATTTATAATTTTTAAAAATATTTTTATCATCAATAATAAACATTCTATTATATTATAAAAAAAGATAAACTAAATAGATAATATTTTTAAAATTAATAAATAAATTATAAAAAACATTTAAACTGAAAATTCAAATTATTATTGAACTTAGAAGTCATGTAATGAATAAATTATTTTTATTTAAAATAAATTTTAAAAAATTTGTTTCCTTTAAGAATGAGGATTCAATTTTAATCCACCTCAGCCTCTATATATAAATTATAATATTAATTTTTAAACAGGGATCATTTTTAAAAAATCAACGCCTTTAGAAATTAATTTTCTCTACATTATGAATACGGAAATCATTATCATGTGTTTTTTTTTACATTAAGTGTTTATTTATTTTAACTCGGTATTAATTTAAATATAAATTTTTTATCAAATTTTATATATAATTTTTTAATAATAATTGTTAAAAGAGAGCAAATTTTAATAATTTTTTTAAATAAAAATATTTTAAAAATTAATCTTCTCTCTCATTATTATTATTATTATTATTTGCTATTAAATGGAGCTTACATCTCAATAGAAGCAGCACTAGGCAAACGGCTTAGGCCAAATAGTTTCTAAAAAATCAAACCTCAAGAAAGGTAAGAGAAAAGACAAAGTCTTATTAAAAATAACACAAGGCAATCCAAGTTTGGAATAGGGATGACAAGAGTAAAGTACCCAATGAGTATCTACAAAATTTATGCATAATGGGTAGAGTATTTACTTGTTATATGGGTCCGGGTATGGATAAACACTCGCAAATTTTAATGAAGATGGGTGTGAGTATTGGTATCTAAGTACCTATCTCACTTTATACCCGCATATATCTATCAAAGCTCTTCTTTCTAACTTATCTCTCTAAGATTACTAAATAAAAAAGGGGTCTCACAACATATTGAGGACTCCTTTTATATCAATTAAAAAATATTGTTTCAACTTGAATCTCTATATCAAAATAACTGTCTTCATTGTGGTAAGGATCTATAGAATCTTTCTTTAAAGAAGTTTTTGCTATATATATATATATATGTGTGTGTGTGTGTGTGTGTGAAGTTATATAAGATTAATAATTTTATATCAACCTTTTTTTAAAAATATTATTTATATATGACACACATATAAAATATTTTTCACATAAATATTTTTGTTGATAAAATCATATTGATATTTAAATCATAAACTGAATGATAAATAATAAACATATTGTAA